TGTTTTTAAAGTCTTTATTCTGTTTATCGTATAACATGGGGTACTTCTCCACCAAAGATATTAGCTTTTCGTCGTCCATTTCGCTAAGCAAATAAGTTTATACGAAATAATCACCAAGCTTTAACTAAATAACTATGTATAACGCAATCCGTAAGCCCGTGCAGGTTAACCACCTTATTTCTCTAGCGATCAACGTAAACAAAAATTATGTATCGCAGAATTTATCCGCAGTGGTCGCAAATCAGTAGTAAACATGAAAATCCGCGGCGCATTTTTTTACGTAAATCCGTTCAGCTGACAGCGCCGAAACTATGATGGCCGAAACAAGGTTGCCATCTTACACCAATTGAGAATAGCATTTATCGAAACTTTTGGGAAATGTTCAAGAATTATAGAAAGTGTACTTATTCAAAGGTGCAAGCCATCGCAAACTGGGCAATTTTTAACCCTCTCAAATAAGATATCAATATTTGTATGGAGTCTTTTGCACAAAAGAGCGACTTTGCTCCTCAATTTTGTTGAGCAAATGTGTGCGCAGTGTGTTGTGCAACCCTCCCATATTTGAAACATTTTTTTTTGTGAAGAATCGGACGATGTTATCTTTTTAGGCCTGAGNTTTACTGTTGCGATAAGGTCAAGAAGGCGATGAGAGTGTTGATTGCGACGGCAATATTTTCGATATGTAGTTTCCACATTGTTCAGTACAAATTATTGAACTTTTGGGAAACCATCGCCTTTCCAGCTTTTCAGTCTCTACCCGACAGATGATAGGAGATGACAGAAAGCAAGCGCGTATCGTACATCTTACGAATTCATAATAGGGGATATATAGGTAAAGAGGAAAATTACCAACAACAAGTAAATAACCTTCAAAGTATCTTCAAATAGTCTTCAAAGAAAAAAAACGCGAAGTGCATCATATGGCAGAATCACTGTCGGACTGTACACTGTAAAATGAATTACTCAATCTCTTATTGATTAACTACATATTACAAGAGTAATAAAATAAAAAATAAATATTTAAATTCTTAAGCTGGGCACTAACATCGAGCAAATCCGTCGCGTGATGCGCGAAAGAGACTGATGCTTTGGCTTGATGCATTTCTGAACGCACCCTACTTGTTTTCGCTTATTTTCAAGGCTCTTCATATCAAGATGCTTTGTATGCATAAAACGTAGAAAGAAATTCTACCTAACAATGGGCAAACGGAGGACAAATAATGCTCCTGCTCCTCTCTTGTAATCTACAGAATAATCATATTTTTTTAATTTTATTTAAAAGCCATTCACTGGTACCCCTTAGTTCTCAACTTAACCTCAAATGTTTGTCGTGTTGTATCAGTTTGCAGCTCTCAAGAAAAAAATTTTCGTATACCTATATACATATTTCTTCAGGAAAATTTACATCAAAAGCAAAGTTCTGCAAAGTTCTTTTTCAAGTAACAGTAATAATGAAACAAATTTCTTGTGATTTTTCTTGAGCTGCAAACAGCCCTTTATAATGTTATATATACATATATATTATTTATCAAATGTATGCATGTATGCCATGTATGTATGCAAATGTATAAACGTAAATGTGCCATTGATTTTGATCTTGATGTGGTTTCCTACAATTTGTAACCTAATACTATCTTTTAAGCAAATATGAATTTCAGCAAATTAATAACAAATATTAAAATTATGTTAATTTCTTTCTAAATATATTCTAAATATGACTGCAGTGAGTCATTCGCTATCGTATGCTTCGAATGCCGCATTATACTAAAGCCAGCTTTTCGACATTAGCTAATACAGATATGTATTCGCCAAAAAAACACTTACGATGTTTTGTCTACCTCAAGCTCAACTTAACTTCCCGTCCGGCTATTGCTATTTTGCAACAAACTTCGTCGTTTCTTTAGTTGATTTGACGCCTCTTGACAACGCCTTCTCCGGTGTTTGATACGCTCTTCCAACTGAAATTGCAAAACTTCCGGCTTCGTATGCAAAGAAAACTGTATCTCTGGCATATTATAAGATGCGAGCAGAAAGTTTATGCGGACTCTGTCTTCGGCTATTTGTCGTAACAAAGCATTGGTTTCATCTGACATTAGAAAATCATTACGCGCATCTGCTAATTTTTTACTGATGTTGCCGTCAGTTGGTTTAGTATTGAGGATTTTCGGCGATGTTTTGTGTGATTTCGGCGATTTAATTTGTTGCACGATATCAGTCGTGTGGTTTTTATTTTTGGACTTGGAGGGCGTTGTTGTTGTTGTATTGTCCTCGTCATCATCCAAGGCGATTGTTTCAAATTCAATTTCCGGACTTGCACATAGTGGATGATGCATGCTCTTCCGCCGACTGCGTTTATTTGGTTGTATATTTGCTGCACTTGATGTGCTAGCCGCAGAGGGTGTACTTGAACTATTTGTAGCTGGACTTCCATGCACACTTACAATAGTGGGAAGTGGCGATGTATTCATAGAAATTACTTCCGAAATGATTAGGGGGAGTGGAGATGTTCTACCAGATGTAGCCACCGCCGTTTCAACAGCAATCGTCGACAAATTTTCAGCAGAAGAGGAATTGATTGTCGGCACGTTCACAGGCTGGAAGTTGCCTACTTCACTGCTAGTTACCATTCGTTCCGACTCTTCATCTGAATCAGAAATCTCAATTACCTTCGACATATTTTTATTTATTTAATATTTAATTGTATTAAATTAAAAACGACAAACTTGTCCTTAAACAACTAGGAAATTGTGCGTTCAAAAACAGCTGCACAGTATACAAACAGCTGTTTTAAGCCAGGATAGAAACCATCCGAGAAATATCCCAAGGTAAGTTAACTGGCCGTCTTCACATGCTTGAAAATCTCGCTCGCTTTCTTCTTTATTCTGTTGCAAGCGAGATACGAGTTCTGTTGATTGCGCATTTGGCAGCATACCACAGCATAGCCCTTAAACCATGATAAAAATATTTGGATCATGCCTTAAACGTTTAAGAGCGAAATACACCACACAAGCGGCTTGTCAAACCTACTTTTCCCATTTCNGCTAAACGTTGATGTACTGAGAAGAATTTTTCAAATTCTTGACGTTTGCAAGCAATTTAATTTTAAATTTTCAAACTTAAAAAAAAAAAAAATCATGGCCGACGAATTGAGAGAACGGTTTTACCTTATTATGTTTTTATCATGGTTTTGACAAAATATATTTATTTGGTGTGAGTGAAAATAAAAACAAGAAAATGAAATGACGGCGAGAAAAAATTTCAAAAATGCTAGCAAACGTCAAAATTCTTAAAGTTGGCTCTCAGCGATTGTTCTTTAGGTCGGTGTTATGCAGAAATTTTGTTTGGCAAACTGCGTGCAATTGTTGTTGCAGCAAACTCGGCGACTCTCACAGCAAACTAATTTTCTTTGGTCAAACTGCACCAAATTCGGTGTTGTCATATTCAAAAATTTTAGACAATTAATACACAAATACACAAAAATTGCCGTGATAGCGAAATCCAGAGAACTGAATTTATGCTGTTGGAGCTTCAAAGATTAGGGCACAGTTAATTGCCTATACGATATCATAAAAAATATATTAGCCATGAAAACCATAATGAACGTGCAACCCTGTACCAAACTCGACATAACCACCTCCGAGCAAACTAAGCAGCCGCCATTTAATTTGACAAACAAAAGTTCGTCTGCATAACACCGACCTTATAAATCAAGGCATATTAAACAAGGTAGAAGTGATTATGACATTTCTCTCTTTTGAACACCGACTATAATGTCAAATGATGAATAACTTTTAACCCTTTTCAAGTTGGCATTTTCTAATTTTCATTAAAAATTCAATTGGCTTTGAGATAGTTATGAATTGTGTGATTTTTGTTTTGTTTTTCGACCACATGCATTTATAGATACATACATATACAAAAATGAAACGGAGCAGGAACTACGAGCGTTGCATTGTGTGGAAAGTCGGGGGAATTTTCGATGACAACACTGGTAAAAACGGCTAGCTGTTCCCTGGTATTCCTGGGATATTCAGAAGGAGAGTCACAAAAAGTTCACCAAAAATGTGTGGTGAAAGCAAACACAGACAATCAACTGATAGTGTTTATGTATGCCTTTTGCCCGCGCCGCTCAAAGAGTCGCAATGGCCGAGTGGTCAAAGCATTAGGCTGGCAGTTGAGAGGGTCCGGGTTCAAGTCCTCCTCGGCCGTAGAGGATTTTTTATTTTTTTATTTAATATTTTTTTATTAGTTTTATTTTTTTAACAATCTTTAGATTTTAATGTTTTAAAAACAAAAAAAAATAAAATTTCTTTCAATACATTTGTATGATATTACAGCATTTTAGTTTACTTCCTAATGAAATTCTTGTTGAACAAATTTCCTCGCTTCATTTTCGCGT